TTTTTGTTTTTTTTTTTTGTGAGAGGTTTTTGCTATAGGGCACGTGCATTCGCCAGAAAGACAAGAGAGAGACAGAGAGACAGAAAGTGAGAAATCACCCCCCCAGGGGAGATGGCCACATCACAATCCCTTCTCCTCCATTCTCCTCTCGGGATCTTGGCCATGCATGCACACGCACCCGGTGTTGAGTTTAAGCCCCTGGGTCCGGGATTTGAACCGCGGTCAACTACATGGGAGTTCAGCGACATAGCTATTATGCTAACTGCTAGTCTCAATGAATTCAAATTCTTAAACCACTCATTTTTTAAAAGTTAAGTCGAAACGAAACATGGCAGTTTTAAAAGCACACATGTAGGTAAAACTTTTGACGGGTTAGATAAAATAAATAATGGATCACTTACAGGTGTGGAGGCATTCCGTCACTGTAGTTGGCTTGATCAGATACCCTTTACAGATGTAGCAGGTAATGTAAGGATTGAAATCTTTCACCAAGTGTTTCCTTTGGGTAGCCATTCGTGGTTAGCTAAGACTGGCTTTAATAGTTCAGGCAAGGAGGGGTACTATGTGGATGAAGTCTGATCCCAGGAGCTGGTGTGACGTCCCCAATATCCCAAGGCATGAGAACTAACATCCAGCCTTATCTTGAGATCGCTGATCATCACTCCTTTTGGTGGCTCTGCTTTCCCATATCTGTTTCCAAAATCATTTTTAAAGATAAGAGAAAAAGATGTCAAATTCCTCGTACTGTCTCAATATCATTACATCAACAACAAATGTTATGGTTTTAAAGTGGGTGAGTGGAACATATCACGTCCTTCACTGCACTTGCAAACCTGCTAAGACTGAATGCAGGATAGAGGCCAGTTCATCCAGTCCTGGGGCCCCAACTATCACCTCTGTGCTAATGACACTCAAAGCTATCAACTCCAGTTTGAGGACCTTACTTCTTCAGTAAGGCATTTTAACCATCTGCTTGACTGCTCCATTAGGAGTTCCTGCCAATACAAGTTAGAGGATTCAAAAGTGAAGTCATCATCCTCCCTGAAACCTGTTCTTTCCATTCTGTACCCCATAACCTGTCAGTAGTCAATCAGGTTGATGTTCTTTTCCATTCCATGCACAGCCACTCTGCTAGTACACTACCTTCCCACTGCCATCCAGCTTGTGTTCTGCTACCAGATTTATTTTATTCTACATTTCGGTCTTCTTCTCAAAGAGTGTCAATGTTTCCTCTTTACACACCAAAACATTTAACTTTCTCAGTCTATCACATAAGATCCTCGACAAGCTTTTACATACCCTTCGATGCCTTTCCTCAAGCAAACTCAATGGCTCCCTCCTCTCCCATGGTCCACTGAGGCGCTATGTCCCTATCCAACAAGCCCTTCCTGTCCTGTCTGCACCCTACTCATCCTTAAGACCCTTTTCCAATGCTACCCTCAGTGTAATCTCTCCCCAGTCCTTAATACACATTTCTCTCCTGTTACATTTTCCTTTTATTTTGACTTACAGTTACACCCAAGTTATTTTAGCACCTCCATTACTCCTCCCCCCTCCCCAATCTCAATAGAAATTGGTCACATTTAGCAAACATAACCCTGGCAATGTTACTTTCCTCCTCAAACCTAAATTTTGCAAGCCATAAAGTGAATATGAGAGTCCAGCCTCATAGGCTGATGAGGATTAGATGAGTTAATTACATAAAGTTAGCATGCAGTCCAAATGAAATAATTGCCATTAATATTTTAAAGAATTATTTAATTTATTTAATTTTACTTATTCATTCATTTATTTTAATTTGACCAGACACACACACACACACAGAGAGAGAGAGAGAGAGAGAGAGAGAGAGAGAGAATGCAAGCCACCAAGTCCAGGACTAGAACCGTGGTCGGCCAGGTGGAAGTGTCCAGCACCTTAACCACCACACCAACCCGCTGGTCCCCACTGTTACTAATATTTGAAGAAACGTTTGGCATAGTTGGCTCGTATACAAATAACGATACTTAACCAAAAAATGTTGTAAGAGTATCTTACAAACCATGTGTCCACTCAGAAAACAACATGAAAGAAAGTGCTCTTTTCCTAAGTTCATTCTGTAAACAGGAACCGTCTCCCTATTTCAGCTGTTAACTCATAGGCAAGCATAAAGCAACCGGAAAAGTAAACGGCATCATTCCATCAACACATGTGCAGGGAAAAGGTTCTGCGTGCAATCACCCTATCCGTTCGGGAAATCGTGTTCAGGGTGTAACAGTAAGAAAGCGTAATTAACAGGCAGGGAAATCAGGGTTCTGGCCCTTAGCCCTGCATGACCTTCAGCAAAGCGTAAAAAACTATGCAGGGTCTCAGCTTCCTCTTCCCTACCGACGTTGGAATGAACTGCCCTGCCTTTCCCACAGATTTGCCAGGCAGTTACAAAGTGAGAGAAAGTCCCTTGCAAGAGGAAATGCCCGGCCCGGACCTGGGTACGTGGTATTAAGATCGTCAGCCTTAGGAGCCCTGTCACCAAGACAGAGGCGGCAAGTCCCAGCAGCGACGGGGCGGGGGCGGAGGGAACTTTTCCGCGTCCTCCGGCAGGACCAGCCCGCACAGCCAAGCAGCTCGAGCGCCCGTCCGCCCCGCCCGGCAGGTGCGCGGGCCCGGGCCCC